CAAAGAGCGGTAACAAGGGAGTGTTTGTTATTGGGGATTAAGAAAGATACTCACCATTCTAGCAGTTCTCCACAGTGAAACCAAATATTACTCAATACACATTGGAGGAGGACACTCAGTTACCTACTGAGACGGTTTTTCTTTCCACAAAGTGTACACATATTTAATTAAATTTTTAAACTTTCTAAGGCCAAAAATCTGGTAGCATGTAGTTATTACCTTGTAAAACCCTCTGGAAATTTCCAGGGGTGTCCCCAACCTTGGCATTATCTCCAGCCTCCACCCCAGTTAGCAATCCGCATTATCAACCCTGACCACAAAATATGTTATAATTAAAGTCTTACATTATCTAAGGCCATCAATCTTTTAGTATTTAAATACTGGTTCATACTCACTGTTTAAAATTTTAAGGCCCTTGGATTCACTCATTAAAACATTATGTGGTAGAGGAATTCAGCCCAAAACAGATGTATAACCTCCATAATTAAATTTTCACATTTTCTAAAGAAAAATCCTTTTGAAATTTAATTCAGGATAAATGATAGCTTTTTAAAGATTTGTGGGCCCTTGTGGACTCATTCAGAGGTTATGTGTACCACACAATTGGAAAAGTAGAAGATTATTCCAAAATACGGCTACACCTCCTTGTTCATTTTTTTTCAAGACATCACCCTTATAATTTGTCATATAATTATTTCTTTGGGTCCTTTTAAGGTAACTCAGAGCTTTAGGGTATTTTGGCTACTAATCTAGCGAAATTCCCAAAATTGGCACACCAACTCCCAAGGTGGAGGCATGAATTGGAGCTCCAACTCCCAAAATGGAAGTCTGCTGGGTCCTGGGATTCAGACCTTCAATAATTTTGAGTTGTTTATTCAAGCTCCTATGTTGAGATTTTCACCTGTTTCAAATCTCTCTTCCTTTCATGTCACTTGAATTTATCTCCTTTCTAACATGTAATTTCTTATTCATCTTGATCAATCACTGTGCCCACAATTTGGCCATCATGTATCTAGTACCTTTATACTCTACTAGAATAAGTGCTGTATTTTTGTCTTTTTGGCTTGAATTCATGGAGCTTCAATATGAGGAAGATTGAGATTCATGGGCAGAGACACTCAAAGAGAGTCACCGAATTGGCTCAAGGTGTTATGGAAAAAGAAGGATAATAAACAATAATCAGATTGCTTGTATCTAGCCTAGATAAAAATTGTATGTACAAGCAGGTCAAAATGTGGTTTGGAAAAGAAGAGAATAAAGTTAAATTGAATAAAAAGCAACTGAGAGATGAATTGAGTTCAGATCAGAAAGAAGAGATGGAAAATAGCTATTAATTCTAGAACTAGATAATCTGAATAATAATAGAAAAAGAAATCACAAACAAGAAGGGGTTTCAATTCTCATTGATTAGTTGAGAAAGAAATCAAGAAAAAAGAATTAATTTACTGAGACAAGAGGGAAAATAGTACACATTGGGCTTCTTTTATACTACTATGTTAATGATTCCAAGGAAAGTGGAGAAAATAAATAGATGAGAGAGGAAGAGTTCAAAGTCCAACAGTAAGAAATTCATCAGTTCTTACACTGAAAAAAAAACTTGCTTGACTGCCTGCAGTTGACATTCAGAAATTCCCAGGAAGCTTCTGTTGTTACTGAAACCATCCTCCCAAAGTTATTCAACCAAGCTTTGATGCAAAGTCATGCTGAAGACTGCAAAGTCACTGTGAAGACTGCCCAGTCACTGTGAATACTGCACAGTCACTTTGAAGACTTCACTGTCACTGTGCCAAAAAATCTAAATATGCAAACATGTTGAGTTTGGATGGCAGCTTGGATGGAGAATCCTGCATATCAACTGCAGGCAGTTGAGAAAGTTTCTTTTGCAGTGTTACCACATTGATCCTTTTGGTGGCACTAAGCCCCATCAAGAGAACTCGCTGAAGCAACACTTAAAGCCCTGTTGGTTGAGTGAGCGGGAATTTTTCATACTTTGTCTGCTTTTTTAATTTTCATTTGAACTAAATTCCCCATTTCTTACCCTAATTATAAAAAGAATTGTTATGATCTAGTCAGTCCACTCCCTGAACTCAGGATCCAGGCAAACAGGGGATGACTCCTCATCCTGCAATCTACATACTCAGACCAGAACACCCACTCACCAGAAACCCAGAACCGTCCTCCTCTCCAAGAACAGGCCTTAAAAGAAATGATCATTATGACAATTAATGAAATAAAATTTAATATCATAGAGAAATTGAAAAAACCTGGAAGATAATTTCAGGACAGACAAAAAAATGATAAAAGTAAATAATAGTAAGAAAAAAAAGAGCATACTAGATAGAATCACTCTAGGTGCTTGGGAAATGGAATTTAGAGTGGTATTTCTTTTTTACCTGGCATAATCAAATGAACAGAATTATCTCAAGGGAAAATCAAGCAATTCTGCTTGGGGAATGTAAGGAATATTGATATTACCACAGTAGAAAAAGTTGTCTTGGTGAGCCACCAGGATGACTGGCCAGGAAGATATTTAAATTTTAGGGTAGGAATTCAGGGAAACTTTGCATGGATAAAAAATTGAAAAAGCAGCTAGATTTTCTTTTTTTCCCTGTATCATAGAAACAATGAGATTCTACACTTGGCTATGCTATTTTGGGACTACATGTTAGCATGGAAGCCTTTCTTTTTTCCCATTTCTGATATTGTTAGATGGATTTTTGAAATACAATCCACTACTCTACCCATTCAACAGACCCAAAGTGAAGTCAATGTTCAAAAATTGCCTTGCTAGGTACAAAGGGGCCTCTTTGTATCTAAAGAGGCAATATTTATATGTTGCTTTTTTTTGGCCTGGTGATTAGCAAAGAAGATTGCCTGCTCTAATTTGTTTGAACATTTGGTAGTGAAGCAGAACCCCACTATTCTAAGCTACTCTGGAGCCCTAGCTGCTGTGCTTGCACAAGAGATTTTCCTTCTGGGCAAAGAGGTTACATAACCTCTTTTCCTGGGAGGGATTCCTCTTGGGAAAAGATGTTATGTAACCTCGTTGCCTGGGAGGAATCCCTCCTAGGAAAACAGATTATTTAATCTCTTTTCCCGTTAGGAATCCAACCTGCTCAAAGAAATTATGTAACACATTTTCCTGGGAGGAATACCACTTTGGAAAAGATTTTACATAACCTCTTTGACCGGGAGGGATTCCTCCCAGGCAAAGAGGTTACATAAAACCTTTGCCAAAGGAGGGATTCCTCCCAGGGGAATAGGTTACATAAAATCTTTGCATGGGAGGGATTCCTCCTGGGAAAAGAGGTTTGTAACCTCCTTGCGTGGGAGGAATCTCTCTTGGGAAAGCACTAAAACTGGTAAAATAATGCTACTGTGAAGAAAAAGTAGCATTGGAAGTGGATGATTTGACAGCTGGTAGCACTCATGGGGTATTTATGTTTAGTGTGTTAGTAGGAAAAAGAGTCCCGCTACACTAACAAGAGCTGTAAGTGGAAGTTTCCTACAAAAATTGATCTGGAACTCAAGCTGAATCCAAATTGAAGCATGAGTCTATATTTATTACATAATTTTCAGCTTGCTAC